TGATTCAAAGAATATTAGGTGACAAAATAACACGAAGATAATTGGTATGTATGTAAATGAATATTTATCTTTAGTTGAATTGTATTTTAATAATTCAGTACAACCTATCTAAAATAATTACTACAATGAATATTTTACGACATAATCAGAGATCGTTTGAATTTAATATAGGAACAAATTTTGACATTCAAAATTGATTATCGTCAATATTTCATATATTTGCAAGGCGCCAATAGCGGAATTCGACAGATTTTAACAGAATTCAATTAAATCAGAGAATCTTATAGAATCGTGAAGTGAAAATGCTTTTATAATTAATCTCATCTAACTTATGTCCTCCATTAGAGCTTATATTTTGGTTGTAATTAGAATTCATAGTGTAGATAAAAACCTCAAAAGAATTCGTGTCATTAGGTCTTTCTTCTCGACTTATGATCATTCTATTGAATTTCCAGTATATCGTAGAATATTACGCGAAAAATTGAATCAAACAATTTCACTATGAAATTTAACCAGAAACATACCTCATGGTCTTTATTATGTCTTAAAAGTTTCAGCTATGTTGGATAGTTTCTTCTCAAGATGTTGTATACTTAATAAGTATTGGTTTTTTTCGAATCTTTTGTGAGAAAAGAGCTTTTTTTCGTAAATCTGTTATGTTGACTGAGACGCATCCGTTTTAGCTGAAAATTTTCGGAAATAATAGGGACCATGAGACCTTTTCAGGGCAAAATTTCATATTGAAGTGTTTGATTCAATTTTTCGCATTATAGTATGCGATAGAATGAAAATTCAGTAACATGGTCATAACTCAAGAAGAAAAGCATAACAGCACAAGTCTTTTTAAAATTTTTATCTAAACTATGAACCATAATTACGCAATTATGTACTTAAAATTTTATTAGGATGAATCGATCTGTATTTATGGATAGATAAATGAAAAAAATCGGCTCAACTGCAACACTTGCAGTGAATATAATACGATTGTAAGTACCACAAATCAATAAAACATAATTAAGTGTCCACTGGTATATACATAAATTGATGCCTATGAACGAAACAAAAAAAAAAGAGGAAAACGAGGTAGCAACATATAAAACTGTTATGATGCAAATGGCGGCTTCTGAAAGATTCCTAGCAGTATACTAAGAAACTTGAGAAATTCTACAGAATCCTGATATTCAGAATTCACTATTTTCATGGAAAAATCATTTAAGGTTTTTTTTATGATGACGATAATGACAGTGAAAATAATGAACAAAAGGAAAAGTAGATTTATCAAAGATTTCGGCGGTTATTCTTTTCAGAAAATGCTTACTTGGTATATAGCAGGTATGAAGGAGAAGATGATTAAACTATTTTTTATCCTTTGAGAAAATTCAATAATACGAAACTTATTGAAAGAATTTTTTAGCGTTGATGTTCGATAGGTAGGATAAATCAGGTTAATGAAAATGAAATTCTTTACATTTGTCGCAATACTTATAAATAATATTCTTGCTAAGAATGTTTTGACCTTTTTCAAAAGGTTTTTTTGAAGGTCATCTCTTCGCTCTCAAAAATCGATCTTGGGCCAGGTACATTCCAATCGTATGAAATTTTTAGAATGTGTTAAGGCTGTAATGGAGAGACTATAGTAAAATTTTCAGACCTATATCATGATATTTTTAGGAAATAATCAATAAACAAGAATGAAAAATAGCTCATTTAGTAACACAAACTTCTCTGTGCGCTTTGATTCTACGTACTTAATTTTTTTGCTTGGAAGAGCATGGCAGCATGGAGGGCATGACACAGGTCTTTTTTTACATTTTTACTTCTGAATGGAGAAAGAGATGAAAAGCTCCATGTCTCGAAAAACTCTCAAAAATAACGGCACTCTAATTATAAAAGTACTCTTGTATATAATAGTAATAAAGCTTAATTAAAAAATAAAATGGATTCTGTCATATCGTGCATCTTGATATGCACTTTCATGAAAAAAACTTAAATATGAAGAATGCAGACTCACAGAGAATTCTAGGCTGCGCGATCAAAACAACATAAATAGAGAAAAAAGTGAAAACGATTTCCTATTTTTTTTGAAAAAAAAAAGTATATTTTTCAAGCAGAATGCGACGTAAATCATCAAAAAACGGGTCGTAATTTTAAAAATATGTTGTTTCTGAAAGAACAGAGCTTAGACTATCTTCTCATGTATTTATCTTAGTTTTCACGTTTTTGACGAAAGTTGACTTTTTTTTAGGAAAGGAGAATCATCCTAAGGCGAACTTCTCTATCAGAAATCGTGATTTTCTTCAAAAACTTCGATTTTGATGCTGTTAGATAAACCTTCATATCTAATACGATTCACGGAATTTATTATGCTTTTTCACGGTTTGTTTTCTATAGCATGTTATTATGAAAGAAGTTTCAGTTCCTAGGCTAAACTTTGTTTCGCGCTTTTTTCAAAATAGATTTTTTTATTGTTTTCTGTTCTTGTGTCAAAGATTTCTCGCTCATTTTACGTACTAGGAAGCTCGGCAAAATTTTAAATTGAAGAAAAAAATTGCGTTCTACAACATAACAAAATCAGAATTTTCATCTTCGACTTACTTTTAAAAAAAATAAAGGCGCCCTGACTTTTCGAATTTTTTAAGAAAAATTTTCATCGTAAGTAAAGAAACAATATTTTGAAATATTGGACCCTGTTAAGTTGTAGCGGTAGGTCTTAGCTGCATTTTAAAATCGATCCGATATTAGTATCATTAGATTTGGAGAAGAAATCCTAGTCATGTGGAGACCTACTCTTTAATCCTTGATGTTGTGATAACTCATGAGCAATTCAATATTTTCTTCCGAAAGTTTTTACTATGAACTGTTAAGATCTGGGCACAGATTCCTTTAAATATTCAATCAGATCGATTGTTGATCTGGGAAAGAGAAAGATTTCTGACAGACGAAGTAGGCCTTAAAACATTTTGAAATCTAAACATAACAAAAACTTTGTTAGATTGTTCATTGCATCCATTTGGTTCATTTGAATGTGTCGTATTTCAATATTATGTTAAAGAAATTTTTTCAATAAATCTACTTTTTCTATAATTTGGACACTAGTCTAATTATTCTCATTTTTTTTTGTTGTCAATTTAAAATATCACGCAAAAGATTCATTACATAATAGTATAATCTTCTTACTGGATAAATTCGTTTTTTTTTCTTTTTTATTTCTATATTGTAAACTTAGCATTACTATTGTTACATTTTTCTACTTTATTTAAACGGTATGAATCAAATTCTAAAAGGAAATTCTTCATTCTATTGATTTACAACATTCAACTGAAAAATGTCATTTCATTTAGTTAATAATTCATATCTGACAGATGCAAAATTTGTTTTTTGTACTATGAAATAATTTTGAACAAAAACCAATATAAAAGAATTCATTTTTCCACATGGATAATTGAAAAATTGCACTTAGCAAACAAAATACAATTTTTCAAAAACAATCAAATGAAGGTATGTCAAATGTTTACGATCTTATTTAAAATATCTTCTTGTTTTTTAACACTAGAAATTTATAATTACACTAACGATAATATTTGTAATGAAACAGGTACAAAAAAAACACTTCTACTTTTTTTAGATATCATCAATTTTAAATAGAAACCATCAAAAACTATTTTTTTTTTACAAAAATTATCTATTGTTGAATTATATTTTTTTTTTATGAAAGAGAACCTCGATCTAACAATTAATAATTCATGATAAATTTTTAGATATTTCTAATCAATTACAAATTGAAATATGACACATAGAATATAAAATGTTATGAAGATAAAATAAAAATACAACAGAATTAAATTTTATAAAATCTTGATTTGTTTAGTCAGAATTATTTGATAAACATATGAGACAAGGACTAACATGTCAAAAAAAAAAACTAACCCCATAAAATCTTAATACCATTTATTGATTACTAAAAGAAAAAAAAAACATTTTATTCATATTCATAATATTGACGTTGTATTAGCATTTTCATGACTAGTTATAGCCTGAATAAACAAACAACTTTTAAAGTTCTTTTATATAAAAAAAAAAAAAATTATTTTTAAGTTTGTTTTTGTGTAGTGTGTTAATGATTTCTTTTTTTAGGTTATCCAATTAAATAAATGAATCTCGTCTTTTTTTATCTTTTCTTTATCGGACTAGAAACTGGGCAGTCTTTTATGTTATTTTCTTTTCTTTTTTTTTTTTCAATGCCTTTTCTTCCTCTATTTTATTCAACATTGAAACAACAGGTTGTATGTAGTGAAAGGCGGCCTCCTGCGTCGTGACGGCACTAGTGAGTGTATGTGTGTAAAAAAAAACTGAGAGAGAAAAAAAAGAAAAAAAGTTTCATATTACAACTTTGTTGTTTTCTCTCGTTCTGCTCGCATGCCAACCACGACTGTAGAGGTGCACGCTTTACCTCATCTCACCAGCTCGTCGATTAACTTTGAAAGCTCAGTGATCGTTGGTGTGCATATCTTCCCTTCTACGTACTCTCTCTCTCTCTCTCTCCTTCTTGCTATGGTTAAACTATACATTTCTGATAGATCTCAAAACTGCTGATACTTAAACACGCATACTTGATTAATATAAGTGTTATTTTGTTCCACATTTTTTTTTATATATTTGACAAAGACATTAAAGAATAGAATACGTAGGTAGTTTACGCCTACATTCTACACTCTGTAATCAGTTAACATGCAAATAAGAAAAAGAAAAGAACATCTATACTACTATAATCTTGAGTATAGTTCATCATTTTACTTGACCGAAAAAGTAATGAATAAACAAATTATGTCAATAAAAATTTCAGTTTATCCTTATTCTCTTTTCTTCTTTAACACTTTTTTTTAATCATCAATGTGATTGTTTGCTCAGGTTGCTATTTGTCTCTCTGTCGATAAGTATGTATGTTTATGTTTCAGATGTAGATATTTTAATAAAAATAAATTCTTATATGTATTTATATAATGGCGATAAAACGTAAAGATTTTCAAAAGACATCATCAATTATACTCGAATTTTTACTAAAATTACCCGATGAAGAGACAAGTTCACGTTTACGTGATACACTTTTACATGGTCTTCATTTTCTTCAACAATATTATTTAATATTACAAAAACGCGATAAAGAACAAAAACCATTACAATGGACAATTGAACGTGGTTTAAGTCCATTAACACCATTTCGTGAAGCACCCGATAAATTTGAATGGCCATGGATTGATGTGGAATCAAATAAAGTTAAACAAACAATACCAAAACATTCATTGAATAATTTTGTTAATTTATCACCAATTATTGTAGCTGTACGTGAAGGTGATTTACGTTATGTTAAAGAATTATTAAATTCAGAACCTGAATTAATTGATCGTGTTGATTCATTTGGACGTGATTTATTAACTTATGCTGTACAATATCAACAAATACATATTTTACGTTATTTATTACTTGAATGTAAACCATCAGCAAATATCAATACTCAAGCTAATGATGGTTCAACATGTTTACATCGTGCATGTTATAGCGATGATGGACAACAATGTAATATTGATATAGTACGACTTTTATTAGAAAATAATGCTGATGCTAGTAAACAAGATGTACATTTACGGTCACCGTTACATTGGGCTGTATTAGCTGAAAATATTGATTGTTTAAAAATTTTAATTGAATATAATGCTGATATACATGTAAGGGATACAGATGGAATGACACCAGCTATGTGGGCATGCCATCTTGATCGTTATGGTCATTTTAAAGTGCGATTTTGTTTTTACAAGAAATATTTTGTAAATAAATATTTTTATTTAGGAATTATCTTATTATATGGATGATATTATGGAAAAAGATGATGATGGTCGTACATGGATTCATCATAGTATACGTAAAACTGAACCATTAAAATGTTTAAAATCTTTATTATCATCTGAAACAATGGAATTACGTGATAATGAAGGTCGAACATGTTTACATGTTGCTGCTGAACAAGGTTCAGTTCATGCATGTCGACTTATCTTTGAAATGAGTGAACAACTTAATGATTATTCTTATGTACATGAAGGTGATAAATATCGTCAAACACCACTTCATTTAGCAACTAAAAATGGTCATGCACGTGTATTAAAAGAATTATTAGATCATGGTGCTGATCCACATGTTAAAGGTATATAAATATTCAGTTTTTTTTCTCTTTATTTCCGATATTTATTAATTTCCTATATTTAGATATACATGGTGTATCAGCATTTGATTATGCACAAAATCGTGGACTTTATTTTTGTCGAAGTGTTTTTGAAGTTTATCTACGTGATAAACGTTCAAATGGTTTCAATAGTCAATTATCAACAACACGGAGTCTTAATAATAGCAGTACAGCAAGAACCAATGGATATGATGTAGCACCAATGCCACCATCTGATGGACGTGCAAAATATGTTCGTCGTAATAATCGTCGTGCACTAACAGAATCATTACCACAACCTAATCGTTCATCACCTACTCTATCAGTTGAAATGCTTCCACCTACAACAAATTATACAAGTAGTTTATCAGTTACATCAAATCGAGCTGATGATAATGACAATGAAGACGACGATGATATTAATCGACAACGTTATCGACCACCATCATCAATAGGAAGTACTTCAATTACTGGACCACCTGTTAAACCTCGAAAAAGTTCAACAACACCTAATAGTTCACTCGTTAATACATCAAGACCACAAAAAAATTATCATCATCATGTTGTTGTTACAACAGCTCATTCAGATGGTGATGAAGATGATGAACCTAATAGTCTTGAAGGTCATGGTGGTCAAAGTGATTTTGATGATGATGATCAATCATCAAGACCTTCAAGACCAGATTCACGTCTTGCAATACGTAATAGTGATATTCGAATGCAACAACAACAACCAAATGCTCCTTTTCGTCGACCACATTATAAACAAGTTAAAAATGTTAATCGACATTCAATGTATGATGATTATCGTTTTCTTGATGAACAACAACAACAATTATCATCTTCTGTTAAACCAAAACAACAAAATCGTTCGACATTACATAAAGAATTTCCAAATCCATCATCAAATCGTATTGGATCAGGTAGTGGAAATCAATCAGCAACCAATCGACTTAAATCTGGCTCAAAATCAAGTTCAAATGAATCCATTCCTGCACTTGATTTAACAGTTGCTGGTCAAAGAGTATTTCGAACAAAACAACAAATTGATACGGTTATGTCGAATTCATTGCCGTCAGCAAGTTCTATGCGACCACCAAGTGGTCGCCTTAAACCGATTAGTAGTGCAAAATCAACATCATCTTATACTGATGAATTTTCTGGAACATCAACAAAAGCATTAGAAGATGTTACTAATAATGTAAAGCAACCGTCATTACCATCAAAGACACATCTTTATAAAAAGAAACTTGCACCATTAGTCAATAGTAATGACATAATGAACAAAAAAAATTCATATCGTTCATCAATTGAACAACAACCATATACAATTGATGATGTACCTTCAGACAGGTCAGAAGAAACAAGTGGTGGGCCGAGTACAGGAGGAGGAGGAGGAGCGCGAGATATGAGATCATCAAGCGGCAGTGACAAACGTTCAAAACATCACTGACACATAACCATTCCTTTTTTTTACCTTTTGTTTTTCTTTAATACACAAAAAAATCCGTCCAATTCTTTTAAACAACATAATGCTTCTTTTTTTTCTGTATATATATATATTTTATATAACAGCAAAATCAATAATAAGTGAATGAAATGAGTGTTTTCATTTTTTTTTCCTTTTTCTTTGTATGAATTTTGTTTTGATAAAAAGAAATGAACAATAACAATTAACTACAGCAAAATAAAATCTTATCTTTCTCTCTTTTCTTTTTTTCTCATAGTTTATCATGAATGATAGTATTGATAGTTATGATCCATCTAACGGATACTATACTGGTAATATTCCAATATATCGCAATAATTATACATCTAATTTCAAACCAAATACATCAAATATTTATTTTCGACATTCATATTCACCACCTGCTCACGAAAATATTTATTTACAAGAAAAACAACAATCAAATACTGTAAATCCGCGTTATCTAAATATGAGTAATCATCATCAACAACAACAGCCACAACAACGTTTAACTGCTGATAGATATGGTTTTGAAAAAAGTGGTTCATCATCAACAGCGTATTATAATCGTATTTTTGCACAAGCTCATTCAAATACATATGCTTCTCGATATCAAAATCCATGCTTTCCTTCAACAACACTTAAACAATCAAGAGAAACATTACCTATAATGGATGATCCACCACTTGATTATCTTCATTATACAATGGATTCACTTATTCAACAATTAGTACCTAATGAAACTTATATACCAAAGGTTTTTAAATAATTTCTTCAAGTTTTTTTTTGTTGTGAAATATTCACTATTACTTTTAAAATGAGAAATTCGAATCCCTTTTTTTTTAAAAGACGTCTTCCCTCTCCTACATAATTAATATCCATCCAATAGATCTATCTTTTTCCACTATTTAACGGACGATCCTTCAATTCTTACGAGGGAACTATTCCAAGTGACATCCGTCGTTTGAGTTCATATCGTATTGGACGCACAGGAAAGTCCTAGTGAGAATAGCAAAAGTCTGAGAGCGTTCGTCCCCATTGATCTTTGGCACCAACTTTATGATCAGTTTACTGAGTTGTTGATTCCTTTTTAGGTACTCCTCGAAAGATCGAATAATGGAGTTTTGATTTAAAATTTTGCTTATAGATAGGTGTAATTTCTGTTAGAATATTCTGAAAGTTTCAGCCAAAACAAGTGTTTCTTCGTCAAATTATTGAATTTTTAAGTGAAATCAATTTTGGTGATTAACGGTTAGTTTTGAAAATTCAATATCTTGACGAATGAACATTCTTTTCGGCTGAAACTTTCAAAATAATCTAAGAGTCATTAGGTGTATCTATAGACAAAATTTTGGATCAAAATTCCGTTATTCGATCTTTCGAGTAGTACCTAAAAATGAATCGAAAATCCACCAAACTGATCATAACTCGGAGACAATGGTCCATGAAGCCGAACCCTTTTAGGTTTTTGCTAGTTCCACTGAGACCTATCTATGAGTTCCATATGAGCTCAAACGACGAGTATCAGTTAGAGTAGTTCCCTCGTTAACGATCGAATCTAAGGGACGAATCATTTCCAAGATGTTTTGTGTTTTTTACTTCTCTATAAATATTGTTAGATTTTTACATAATCCTTATTTCTTTAGCAATCATTTATTTATCCAATGTTCTTATGTTCAAGAATACATATTCAACCAAGTATATTACTTTATAAATTAGCTCAGTCAACAATGAATTCCATAAAAAATTTGACTCGTGTATGTCTATAAAAAAAATTTTCATTTTAAATTTTTATTGATTTAAATTTTTTTTTAATTATAGGATCGAAGTATTCGAATAATGAATAATTTTCTTAATATTTTATCACAATGGACACGTACATTTCCATATGATTTTCGTAATACCGATATGATAACACAATTAGATGAAATTTTGAAACAGATCAATTTTTATGAACCAACTCTTCAATCAAATACACATTCTATAAAGAAAAAACTTCTTTCAAAAGTTAATAAAGCATAAAAATTACAAAATAAATTTTTTCATTTTGTTGTTATTTTATTTTATTTTTATAGCTAAAAGCATTAGAAAATTATGAAGAATATATTCGACAATTAAACACAAAAGCATTAAATAATCATACTCACATAGCATTAACTGTAAATTAAATATTTTTTATCAATCTAAGTTTTGCTTTTTTTCCCTTTTAGACTGATATTATAAATGAATGTCCAACACCAATATTATTTGCTCAACAATTAACTCATATTGAACTGGTATTAATTTATTCGAATATAATTTATTTTTATTTTTATTTATTTTTTTCTCGTAGGATAGATTAAAACCGATTGGTGCTGAAGAACTAATACAATATTATATTATGAAATTATCATCAGAAGAAATACGAGCACATCCAAATAAAACTTCTAATACTCAAACAAGAACATCAAATGATAAATTATCAGACATTGTTCATGATAAAAAATTAACATTTTGTCTTGAAACTTATGTGCAATGGTTTAATCGTTTAACTTCTTTTGTTACTACAGAAATTGTTAAACATACACAAAGACGTTTACGTATACGACTTATTAATTATTTTATTGATACTGCTTATGAATGTTTTCGTTTAAACAATTTTAATTCAATGATTGGAATAATTGGTAAAAAAAAAGACTTATTAATATTTCAATAGTTAATACGTTATCTCAAAGATTGGTTTTATATTATTTTTTTTGTTTTGTCAAGGACATACTTGACAGATCTGATAGACAACTATTATATTTAAGTGAAATGCAAACTTTCAGTCTGCATACTTATAGGTTTGAGAATCATGAGATTTCCGTAACACTAAAATTTCATTTGTATAAAGGCAACTGTCAGAATTCATGTTATAATTCATTTGTATCATTGAATGAAAACGAAATATTTGTATTTCAATCAAAAATCATAATTTTCCTTAGTATTTGTCAACTTTATTGGATAAGAATATAAATTTATCGATGTCACTTATGAAATATGCCATATAATATAAAATAACAAAAATGAAAAGTTCAAGTAGAAGACAGAAGGATCATTGCATGATGTTTTTTTTTAAGTATCCCATAATATATGTCATAATAATTTGATTAATTTTTTATGAATTTCTCAACATTTATCATGACAGATACTACATTTGTAAGTTCCAAAAGTATCATATATCTTTCGAAATATCTAGTTATTATTTTCAATTATAAATCGAATCAATCGTTTGAAGAATTATTTATATCATAATTTAATTTTCCTTCAAAATTAAAAAAAGACATTAGTTTACTTTTTGTATCTAAAAATCAAATTGATTATAATGAAATAAAATTCGATATTTTAACGATTTCTTTAAGGTGGTTTAAATATGCAACCAGTAAAACGTCTAAAAAGAACGGTGAATATTTAGTATAAAATATTCTTTTTTTCATCTTCTTATTTAAAATATTTCTTTTAGTGGGAAAAAATTCAATCAAATAAGCTCGAAGAACTTGAACAATATATGAACGTCACAAAAAATTTTGCTAATTATCGTCTCCTACTGAAATCAGCTATAGAAGAAGCTGATAAATATGGTTGGATAGTAGATAAAATAGTTATACCATTTACTAGTCTCGTTCTACAAGATGTTTATTTTATAAAAACACATAGTAAAGATGATACAGTAGAAGGTGGTATTAATTTAAAGGTTCATCCTTTCTTTTTTTTTATATTTAATAAATATAATATTTAAATTTTTTTTTCTCTCGTAGAAATATTATTCTATGGCAAAATTTATTTCAGAAGAATTTGTGCAATGTAAACAGAGTAAAGTATGTAATCGTTTTCGAACAAAATCTATTATCTTGAAATAGCTCAGTTTCTTATTATCTTTTATGTAGTTTTTTTAGTATTATAAAAATTATTATCCTACGGAAATATTTGATCTATATAAAAGACACTATTCTTATTTCCTGTCATGTATTCATAATTAAATAAGGCTCATACAAAAAGAAAAAAAAATTAGTCAAAATCTCATTTGTCATTCTATCAAAGATTGATGATTCATAGTTTATAGTAATATAATCTTGATTACAATTTGAATGCTTCGGGTTTTTTTTTTGTTTTTCGTATATATGTATTTATAAATAATGATAAAGAAATAAGAATTATTCAAACTAATTTTACAGACTACGAAATCAGTCTAACTATTTTTTTTGATAGTTTCATAATATTTTTCTCTATGACAAAATGCAAACTATGTGAATAATAAAATATCTAAAGCTTTTATATTTATTTTAGTGTTCATTTGAACGAAATGATGTGATTATTAACTATATAACTACATCACCGATATTTAATGAAGACTGTACGATAAATAGTTTAATTTTCTTTAATAAACATTTATTTATTTTTAGCTTTAATGCTTGCTTCATATGAATGTGAACCACCAATAACACCAAATGAAAAAGAGAAATGGAGTATGCTTCAGTAAGATAATATGAAATGAAATTCATAATTATTTTAAAATAATTTTCTTTTTTTTTTTAAAACCTAGAGCAAAAATGTACACATCATCGTGAAAATCTTAAATTTAGTCGTTCTATTTTAAATAATCAGATGTATTGTTTTTTTGTTGTTCTGAATTCTTTTCATCTTACAATATTTGCAATATTTTTCTCTCAATATTGTTCGACGAAAAAAAAGAACGAATTTGTTCTTCGTATTTCGTCTTCCATGTTTTTTATTTGTCTATTTTCTTTCTATGTGTAGTCAAGAACAAAACAGGCGATTTCATTTTTTTTTCTGGATCTTGTTATTTATTTTTTGTATATTGTGAATTCGCTCATATGACAACACAAATTCTTTTTTTTTTTATTGAAGTACATAAATATGTATACTTTAGCCTCTGCAAGGCTGTCATTTTTTTTTCGTTCCTCTTTTTTTTTTGTTGTTATTGCTCGAATACTCGGCATACTGCACTATTCATTTTTGTAAGCAGGCTAGTATTACGTGTGTATACACCTAAAGTGAATTTGGTATTCCACCTCTTTTTTTTCTTTTGTAAGCGCTGTGCTCTCTATTTCTCTATTCAATAAATGCATTCGAATCAAGGAACAATAGAAATGATTATTATTCTGTCTTGTCCGTTCTTTTTAAATACATGTCAACGTATGTATTATACATTTGTCGCATTAAATTAAATGTTTAGGAATAATCATATGGTGGCCTTTTCGTGTGTAATGTACTGTTGACGAAAATGATGACGACCTATTGTGTCGAAAGAACAAGATCGAACCACCTCTTTTTTTTCTCATCATACATATATGCATTAGAAAAAAAATAATCGTTTTGAACCATATCGATAAAGAGAAAAAAGGAAAGAGAGAGAGTCGTCAACAATAATATAATATATATATATACAAGAAAGATTATACATAGGTATATATATATATATATATATATGTATTCATACATCACCATTGTAAAATAGTAGAAGACACCTAGTGTGATCGACGAATGATGAAAGGTTCGTTTTTTCTTCAAGACTGTATTTGATGATGTTTGTGGATGTTAATACAGCAAAGGTAATGACAACGAAGTAAAAGAAAAGAAGCAGAAGAAAATGCACGACATATTTCAATATACTTCCTCACCTTTACTACACAATAATGGTTTTCGCCTGCTGTGCTTTATTCTCTTATTTCATCGATACTCTTTCATTTTCTTCTAGAAGTAACATACAATCTCGTGCAATCATATATCCATATAGTAATCTTAACATCAACTAGAACAAATCTGTAAGCACCATTATGATTATTCTTTTGCTGTTGATCTTGTCAAATAGATGTGAGAATTTCAAATGATATATATATTTTTTTCCTATCAAAATAATTGACCGGGTTGTCTCTTTGGTATTCAATCTCTATGACCGTTTATTTTAATCTCATAAAGCTTGAATACCGAAGGATGACTCGAACAGAAAACGATGATCATTAAAAAAATGCAAACAATATCATTTTTTTTTCATTTTTATAAATCTCATTATATGATTTGCTTTTATTCCTCTTCCTCAATACATGATTTTTAACAACTTATAAATATGATTTTATAATTTTTTTTTACCATTTATCCATTGTTTGTTATATACACATAAACGAACAAAACAAACATGAAGATTGCAAGATAATAGGAGATGAATTCTAGATACATACAATGGGAGAGATGATTTAATTTTTAGATAAATATTTTTTTTTCTACTGGTTTCCTGCACTTCTTTATTATTTTCTCTCTGTCTCTCTCTCACACATGATGATAACGCCTTTAGACTCTAGAGATTGGTCAGGGCAAAATTATTCTTTTGAATATTGATTTCTTGATTATGATAATGATAATTATTTTTCCTTATTGATCCTTTGTGGATCGATGAATGATTCAATGTCAGACGATTTGGATGCTGACGATGGCACAAACCAAGGGTTAACATCAGGTGTAATAGAATCTTTTGGTGATGATGATAAGAGAGATGATGATTTTGGTGATGACCAAAAGAGTAATAATGAATAAGACTGTATACGACGACAATAGTCGAAGCCTGGGTGATATTTGCAAAAACGTTTGATTTCAGGATATTGCTAGAAAATTAATAGATAGAAAAGAAAAAATTACAATATCTAGAATAATAATTATAATTTATCCTACTCCTTGCAGAACTTTATATAATATTTGATTGCAAAATTTATCCGTACCCACTGAACTTTTCTCTGTCTTTGTCATACACAGTTGCATAATCAATTTTTCTTCAAGCTACAATAAAAGATAGTATTGATGCGGACTTTTCTTGATGGTTTTTTGATGTAAAATATACATACGTCAACCTCATTACCGATCTCTTGTCCTTTATGATACAATTTGTTGTCTTCATTGAGACTTCGGGCAAATCGGCGAGAAACAAACCTCTATTATATATATAAACATAAATAAAAAATAATTGTTTTTTCGTCAACAAATAAATTACCTTAGCTCCAGCATTCTGATTACTAACCGTGTGTCGGTTGATATTATTACAATAACTCATTCCGGCACCGATTGTTTGACAATAATAGATCAGAATTGGAAAATTCTATGTAAAAGAAAATGTAACGTGATCGGAAGTGCATATATTAACATAAAATCAACATTCTCACACATAATGCCCGCGGGCTATTACTACTAACTACTACAACTCCTACGACTGGTGGTAAAGGATATTTCTGCAAAGAAAAAAAAAGAAAATTCTATAATGATACTTACACCCATAAGTGCCGACTGCAATGTTTGATCGCACAGATTCTGGATAAACATGTCGGTTTTATCGCCTGAACATGTACTGACAATGAAACTGGTTAACTACGTTGGCATAAATAAATTCTTTATAAAAAAATATTTGAAATATGTTTTTCATTTACATACATCATATTCAGTTAGTTCACGTTTTGAGAGACGATGCTAAGAAAATCAAATAAAAAAAAAATAATAAATTGAACTCTTTTAACGATTTACTTGATGTGTTGGTTGAAAGAAAAAGACGTTAATGATCAGTAAAAGTAGAATAAATATTTGAGATTTCATTGCGACGACAAGATGTTGATGACAAGTGAAGAATGACGATGATGATGATGATGATAATGAAGAGGAAATCAAAATGAAAAAGGATAAGAATGACCTGCAACAATAAACATATACAATGTGAAATACTAACATCAATTGTTTATGTTAAATATAAAGGAAGAGTTCTTTGTTTTCAACTGATTTGGAGTATTCAACTAACCAAGCATATGACGATCATTTGTCATCTAAATCTCTTCCTCTTTTTTCTCTCTCTCTCTCTCTGTTTTCTTATACTCAGTTACTAGTTAGAATTGATTAGCTTGTTGATGACTTTTGAAAGGAAACTAAGATGATCATTATTGTCATCACAAAAAAAAGGACTTACCAATGGGACAAACAAAAAAACAACAAGAGTATATGAAGACAAGGAGAAAATGAGAAAATTGTATATATATATATATATATGTAAAATATGTTGTATTTTGTTTCTATCTATTATAACATTGATTAGTTCAGACCGCCTGTTTCTCTGGTGTTGATGTCCTTATTAATGATAGTAAAAAAATTAATATATATATATATATATATAATAGAAAGAAAAAGAGAAATGGGACAGAGAAAAAGAGAGAAGAAGAGGAAAATCTATATACGAGAACGTCCATCAGCAATATATACTTTTCTATTCAACGAAGCGTTTATCTTTAATCGAGAAAAGAAGATAACGAATAGTAGAACTTCAGGAAACTCATTAATGCAAAAATGATCCTACTAACTAGTGTGACACAAATATTCTTAAATCTGCAATAAACAAAAACAAAGACAGAGATAAACATATTTCTGTCATATACATTGTTTCCTGTAGATGTTTCTCTCTCATCTTCGTTTCTAATTTCATTCAAAAATAAAAAAAAAGATATTATTAGAAGACAATGAAGTAAATTCTTTGCATGTTAAGTATACCAATGGTTAATATAGAGGAAAAGAAAAACTAACAATTAGATGATCCAGAAGTCAAGATCAAACAATAAAATATTTGGTATTAATTACAATTAATACTCGAAATAGATTCTCTGCTTCACATACATGCATATGAATCTAAATATGGTAGAGATTGTACTAGAGATTATTAAACTTATAAAAATATTAATATAATCACGATATTTTTTATATTGATTATTCTATATTCTATGTCAAAAAAACATTGTCAAATTCTTATCTGATGAAAACAACTTAATAATAAGCTATCATAAACTTGTTTCTCTATATTGCATGCAGAAGTTTCGATTCTTACCCGATTAAAAGAAAACAAAACTACTCAACGTCGTTTGACTTTTCTCCATATCGGAAAAAAAATGATCGAGAAACAATATTGTTAGTTTTTAGTTGAAAACAACAGCGGAAAAAACAAAAATTTTCTCCCTCTTGTCTTTTTTTTTCTACTCATAATTTCATTGAATAATAATAGGTTATTCTCAAATTTTACAAAAAAAACATAATCTTTTGTAAGACAACACAAAACTTGGAATTGTTTTAATAACAATATTTTTTGTGTTATTATTCAATCATACAAATGACTCGATTAGTGTTGACAAGTCAACGTTTCTATATTCTAGTTTGTAATTTGATCTGTATTCTGTCTAAATATTTATTGTTATTGTGTTTTTTAGAAACAGATACTCAGGGAAATAGAAAAAATGGATCATAAATAAAAACTTCTATCAAATAAAACAATATGCATGCATATAGCTAATGATGACAGTCCTAGTTTCTGACATAAGTCACTAGAGAAAATGGTAGGAGTACTTAACCATTAAGGTCAATATTATTCATCAAGAGGTAAAGAACGAATAGTTGTCGTAGACTGTTTAGCGAACTAACAGATGTAATTCTCAAAAGAATAACGAACATAAAAGCTAGGCATTTTATAGACAACATCAAGCTTCCAAGAAATTGTCATGAGAGTAGAATGTCAACTAGAAGAATAGCAGAAAAAAAACAGTGATCTGTAGTCTGGAAAGTTCATGCTTATATATATTATAAACTTTCCTGTAGTGACCTAGTTTGTAAAATATGTCTTCATTCATCTACATATTTAGTAGCATATTTTTTCAATTATATTCATCATCTCATATTAATAAATAAGAAACTTTGTGTAAGTCAGAAAAGATAAAAATAAACAAAAGAATCGATTTAATCGCTGCATTAGATTATGGCATAAATCAAGTGCATCCCTGGATAATGAAATAAAAGTTAGGGTCATGTTTTCGATAAAAAACAACTGAAAAGATTATTCAAATTCTTCTTTTGAAGTAATAGATTTGTTATTTGCATGAAACATGAGTAATTTCAATATATATCTGCATTACTAATTTAAGTCATAATTATCATCATCTTTGTGCATGCCTCAACGACTGTTTGATTATACACGTCAACTTACAATCCTCTACAAGCTGTTTTGAAGAAATCTTATTATATGGAAAAGATTGTCTTGACTGATATGATTGATTGAAAAAAAAAACACAGTTTTAATATATACAGAGTGGCCCAAAAGTAACGGGTCATAAAGGGTATCCTATAATAACTGTTGATAAATTGTTAATGATATTTTTCATACTTTTTATTAATGTAGAGAGCTGAAATTTTTATTACATATATATCTAATCAAGACCTTTTACTACTGAAAGTTTCACTTTTCTACATCAATAAAAAGTATGAAAAATGTCATTAATAATTTATCATCAGTAATTATAGGATATTCTTTATGTCCTGTTACTTTTGGGACATTCTGTATATATATAATGAAAAATATAATGATCTTAATTTTAAACGGCATCGAACATAATAGAACTTCCAAAAAAAAGTATTCTTTTATTACTGATAAGATATTTTCTCAAACATGACAATAGACTAGAATTGCTAACTTAATAATATATAGCTGACATAAAGGTTAGAAATACTAAAATTGTGAATCTTTTTTGTTCTTCAGATAAAGTAATTTCCTTTTTCTTTAATTATTAAGAGGCAAGAAACAAAGAACAAGTACATAGTTATCAACAAATGCGTCAATAATCTCTATTTCTCTATCAGTATAATTTATTCTTTTTATAATAAGAAATATGATCCCATGTCAAGATTTTCATTAAATAAAAGTTTAATTGTTATACCATTCAAGAATAAATATTATCATGGAATGAAACTATAAATAACCTATGAGAAAAAAAACTTCCTTTTGTTCAAATGAGTTATTTTCATATAGAATTGTTCAATTGAGTAGAATGAAATATTTGAAAATGTAATTATTTATCTTTTGTTAAAATTTTTCGGAAAAAAACTGATCGTTGTTGGTTTATGAAATATTGATGATTTAATTGCTTTAACTTCCAATCCTATTAGAACTCTTATTTTTTCAATTAAGCTTATTGCATATGGCATGAAAACGAGTAGAAAATTGATTTATTAAATTTAATTATACCGGGTGTGCCAAAAATTTTGCATCATTTGATGTTTTTCATATATCTCAGTTCAGAAAAAAAGATAAAATCTTAAATTTAGTTTTGAAAGATGTGCAATTCAATTCTCTACAAAAATATATTGACCTTAATTTAAAGTAATAAAACTGGAAGTTTTTATGGGTCGGATAGTGTGCTTATATGAATTGCGTCTATGTCCTACGGCTGTTTTTTACTTCATTTCTTTTGTGACCTTTTCTCTTATAAACAGGTGCTTGAAAACCTAATTATTAGCAATACGATAACATATCACTGTTCTTTTAGAATAATTTGTCTGTGCTCGATTATAATTTGTTTCGGTGTAATAAAGGTGATTTATTTGATATGCTATTGGAAAAACAATATTCTAAGCGATGTTCAGAGTTTTCATGAAGCTGAATGGCTTTGCCAAATGTTTTTTGAGCTTTCAATAGAAAGAGCAGTCTATTTTCTGCACAATACTGCAAAACTGAACTCGATTTCACTGCAGATCATATTCTTAAGAGACTTTTTCCGAAAAGAGATAATCGAGAGAGAGAAAACCTGGTGATTTTCGAAATACTACTTTGCAAAAAAATTCAAAGAATAAATGTTAAATATATCATCAATCGACCGGATCTTTCAAGCGCTATCCCCGGCAGACTATTGTTTTTAAAAACAAAATATTTCTGCCCACAGAAAAAATAACTTATAAAAAAAAGTGTGGGACGCAAATGCAATTCATATCCGCACACTATCCGGGCCATAAAAACTTTCACTTCTATTATTTTAAATTAAGGTAAATATTTTTTTTTGAGAATTGAATTGCACATCTTTCAAAACTAAATTCAAGATATTATCTTTTTTCTGAACTGAGATATATGAAAAACATCAAATGTCGCCAAACTTTTGGTACACGTGGTACTAGCATATATCTTCGTGTATAATAGCTGAGATATCGTCCCCGTATTCTCTTTTAAAAATTATTATTTATTTATATTACATTATTGAAACAAAGGCAGTTGATCGACTAAGATTGTGAAGCGTAAAGCAAAGGTCCTCATGAGGACTCTCTATTCATAATATCAACAAATCAAAACGAATAAATCTGCTTGAATATCGAGAGAGACATGTTCGACGATGCGCTTCAGTGCTAAAAAATAGGAGACATGAATCAATATATTCTTCATAATAACAAGATCATATGTAACGAAATGAGTGAAAATAAGCCGAAAATTCGCAGAAACTTAATATTCTTTAGCTATTTACTCCTTTTTAAATGAAACGCTGTGAAAATTAGCGATCACAACAACATAATAACCTTCTCATATATTAGTATCATTGATAAACAATTTATCAACGCAAATGTCTCTCAAATAATAGATTGATCAGCTAGCAGTCTGAATCTAATTCAGACAGAAAATATGTGGTCACTAATGAAAAATAAAACTGAAAGGTGAAAATAAAAAAAAAGACATAAATGGAAGAGTTTGAAAGTGTTGATATTGGTGTTTTAATAAATTGACGTTGTCAATGAAATAATAATGTTTCTCT